TTTGCTTTGGTTTGAACCGGAGAAATCCCCTTCCGGACCTCCATCTGAATTTTGCGCATCATCCAGGTCAGGTGACTGAAACCCAGCAATATGAAATAAATAAAGTATAATATTATGGAAAAGTTTACTTAACTTCAGTAATTCAATTCGACCTTGTGAAACAGAATGTATAGAATAATTAGTGATGTTTTCAAGTGTTTCATTTGAGTTAAATATGATGTTCTGCTTACAGCTTACAGGTCTTGAGTTTATAAATACAAAGATCTGTTAGGAGCTACTCTGGATGTTGTAAATGATATGAAACTGATGATTATTATTTTGTGATTTTCGATTCTTTTTGGAAGTTGGTTTATCGTTTTTGTTGTCATTCATTTCTATTGAAATTTTGCAAGAAAACTCTGAAAAGAAGAAGTGAAAAATCCTTACTGCTCTACTTCTCGTTCTGTTTTCTGAAATTATTAGGAAAAACTTCCGTCACAGACACCAGGGAATAGCCTGCTCTCTGCTCTCTGTTAGTTTGGAGACTCCCAACACCTTTAGAGCAAAAGTTAGACGTTAGACTAGATTGTCTCTTAATTAGTTTATTTTTATTATCTCTGCTGACTTCCAGAGAACACCTGAATATCAACAGCGGAAGAGAAACAAATATTGAGAAAAACAAGTCGGCCAACCAGATTTGTAAGTCTGTACTAATTTGGTTTTATGTTTGCTTAGATTTCAGTTTAATGAATATTTACAATTTTTGTCCATTTTGTCTGAAGTTTACAGATCCTCGTAGATAAAACTAATCTTTCACAGTTGGTCCAGCCGCAGTTTAATGTAAACGTTGTATTGTTCTGATAGAATAATGGACTTCAACCTCTTATTTTTTCCCAGGGAATTCAAGCTTCACAGAATTTCTTTTTTTTTTTATCTGATGAAAAAAAATGCATTTTTTCCAATGACTAAATGATGCCTAATAATTACTGTTAGACCGGAGGCCTGGTTTTCATAGAGGGAGCTTCCTAGAAAATGTTTTAATTTTCCTTCCATGTAATTTGTTTTCTCTTTGTTCTGAAACTTGAAACTACAAATAAATTGGGAATTATTTATCAAAATATCCTCCATCAGATATCTAGAAAACCTCTTGAGCTGATTATGTATTGAAGGTTTAGCAGGTAAAGAAAAAATGTCTTCAGCAAGATTGTGGGTCAACATGAGTCTCTGGATCATAGAGGCTGCTGATCTCTGCTCTAGATAATTGATTCTTCCACGTTCAAACGTGGTGTAAACACAGGTCTCCACCGGAGAAGTTATAAGATTATCCTCTGTCTCCTCTCAGAGGATGAAGATGATCTCCAGGATCCTGCTGCTCGTCATCCTCATCTCACGTGTCTGTGGTCAATCTCCAGTCCAGAGTGACAAAGATGTCCTCAGAAGACGAATCAGACTCCATGTGTCCAGACTGAGGACTGTATCTGTGTGACATGAAAACTGAAGATGGTTCTGGTTCTGGAAGATGTCAAGTCAGTACAACCAGTGAGTTTGTTGATTAAATCGTTAACTGTTCTCTTTATGGAAATAGAAATCTCGCTGAATCTCCGCTCTGTGTTTATTATCAATATCTATCATTTCCTGTAAATAAAACTGATCAGTTTAATCTTTTCACAGCAGCAACGAATCAACCTGAGACTTCAAACTGGATCAGGAACCAGGGAGGAAGAGATGGGCTCTACTGTGGACTGCTGCTGTTTATATTTGTGAAGGTTTTCCTGATTTACTATCTGCTTCATGCAGGTTTTATTCCAGTCTCTGATTCCAGCCAAATCATTTAAAACTTACATCAACGTCTGAAGCAGAATGTTGCAATGTGTTCAATAAACTCAAAATGTTGTAGTTTAGCATGAAGTTCTGCTTGTCTGGTCTATTAAGGTTTTGCAGTGTTTCTCGGAGATCTGTGTGAATAGATATGTGTGAATAGATGTGTGTGAATAGATGTGGTTACAGAGATAAAGTGAAACTGAAACATTTAAATGTGACTATTTTAGAGATAACTGATGTGGCAGATCGTTAGCTGGAGATAGGCACCAGCACCCCTCCCGACCCCACTGAGGGACAAGGGTGTTCAGAAAATGGATGGATGGATGATGTGGCAGATTTTACACTGTTAGATATGACAGGGAGCAGAAAATATATTGAGGCAAGTTTTAAAAATATTTGTCATGGTTTCATGCTTCTTATATAAAAGTACTGAATTATTTTTTTTAATTGTTTTTGGCATATTTATATCAATAAATATAGTGTTGACACGTTTATCTAAACATGTTTGAGTCCGTTTAAACTACTGTATCACCTAAAAAGAGGAATTATTCGTTAACTTCATGCTGAGTCAACATCCACTGTACTGTGCATGTCGCCTAATCCCTGCTTTTATTCTGCCAAGCCAGAAAAGTTTTACTTGAGCAGCGCAAAATTCCCTGCAGTCAAAATGATCGCTAATTGTGACCAAAATTGGTAGAAATCGTCACATTTCCTTTGCGCTTTAAATGCTAAATATGAATTCCATTTTTATGAAAATGTAGTTTTAGGAAAACATAATTAGAGGGACTCTCATTAAGAGCTGATGATCCTACTGTGTAGTCTAGTCAAAGTTCATTCATGTAGCACATTTACAACCTCACCTGACCAAAGTGCTTCACAAACATCACATCGTAGGTAGATAAATGATGAACAAAAATTAAGATTAAATTTGGTAAAAAGAACAGACATTGATAAAATGGGCAGAAAATACCAAAAACTGACTAAAAACCAAGACACACAAGGGGAATTTATTTTTCTTCACTGCTACTAATGTGTCATTAATTTATATTCACCTGTCAGACATGAGAGCAACAGTGAGTGTTTCATTTGGTCAACAGTTGCTGAATTACTTGACGTGTTCAATATGCCCTCTGGTGGCGAACTGCTGCAACTACACGTTGCTGGTCACAATATTCTACTAAACAGAAACAAGAAAACAAGACCATCTTTATGGCAAATAATCTTTATTATCTGAGAATTATGAAGAAAGTCTTTTTTGCAAGTATTTTTTCTATCTGTAATTCAAACCATTCCATCAATATATTTTCTATCCAAAACATAAAAACCATGTCAAAGGCAAACTGACAAAAAAAAGACATGGGTAAAAAAAGCTTTACAGTTAGTAACTAACAAGAATAAAATCAATGCAAATGCTTAAACAAACAAAAACTGAAAACATATTTGATCATTATTTAGCACAATTTCATTCCCCAACCAGCAGCTTTGATGGTCCTTAAAAGTGTGACTTAAGACTTAAGTCATATCTCACTCAAAAAAATTTATTTTAAATGGAAAGATAAAACTCAGAACAAAGTGAATGTTCAAGTATTCCAGCTAAATCTCCTATTTGAAACAAAGCTGTTACATTTAACAATGTGACCCAGCTGTAGTTACTTTTCTAAACAGAAGTTACTGAAAATCTTGGTGCATGAAGTTCACATTATTCCATAAAACTTGTGTGTGTTCTCATGTGAACAGCTAAATTTGTTTTTCGAGAGAAATTTTTTCCACAGGTCTCACAAGAAAAAGGCTTCTCATCTGTGTGAATGCTCATGTGATAAGTTAAATTACATTTTTGATTGAAACTTTTTCCACAGGTCTCACAAGAAAAAGGCTTCTCACCTGTATGGACTCTCGTGTGATGAGTTAAATTACATTTCTGACTGAAACCTTTTCCACAAGTTCCACAGGAGAAAGGTTTCTCACTTAAATGGGATTTCATGTGATAAAGCAAACTAGAACTAAACATAAAACATTTTCCACAGGTTTGACAAGAGAAAGGCTTCTCCCCTGTGTGAATTCTCATGTGAGAAGCTAAACTTTTTTTATGTGTTAAACTCTTTCCACAAATCTCACAAGAGAAAGGTTTCTCACCTGTGTGAATTCTCATGTGATAATTTAAACTCTTTCTTTCACTGTAACTCTTTCCACAAGTCCCACAGGAGAAAGGCTTTTCACTTGTGTGAATCTTCATATGATCATTTAAATTGCCTTTTCGAGTGAAACATTTTCCACAGGTCCCACATGAGAAAGACTTCTCACCTGTATGAATTTTCATGTGAGCAGTTAAACTTTTTTTATGACTTAAACTTTTTCCACAGATTTCACATGAGAAAGACTTCTCATCTGTGTGAATCCTCATGTGAAAATTTAAACTTTTTTTATCACTGAAACTTGTTCCACAGGACCCACATGAGAAAACCTTCTCACTCCTATGGGTCTTCATGTGATAAGTTAAATTGTATTTTTGAGAGAAACTTTTTCCACATGCCCCACATGAGAAAACCTTCTTACTTCTATGAGTCTTCTTGTGATAAGTTAAATTGTATTTTTGAGAGAAACTTTTTCCACAGGTCCTACATGAGAAAGGTTTCTCACCTGTGTGAATTCTCATGTGATCAACTAAGTCAGATTTACACACAAAAGCTTTTTCACAGGTCGCACACGAAAATGGCTTCTCAGCAATGTGAATCCTCATATGACGAAGTGAGTTATATTTACTCTGGAAACCTTTTCCACAGGTTCCACATGAGTAAGGCTTCTCACCTGTGTGAAGTCTCATGTGAATCCTTAACGTGCTGTTGTAATTGAAGTCTTTTCCACAAGCAACACATGTGAATGGTTTTTCACCTGTGTGAATTCTCATGTGATTAATTAAACAAGCCTCTTGACTGTATCTTTTTCCACAAGTTGAACATGTGAAAGATTTCTTGTTTGTGTGAGTTCTCATGTGTTTAGTCAAGTATCTGGTTCGAGAAAAGGTTTTATCACAAATTTTACAAGAATATAATTTTTGGCCTGGTTGTGATTTTCTGTGCCTCTTTTGGGTTAAACTGTCATTTGTGCTTTTCTGCTGTTTGATTTTCTGACATCTCTCATTTTGTTCCTGTTCATCTCTCTCTTTTCTTGAGTCTCCAGAATTGTTTCCTTCCTGGTTCAGGGTCTCAACTTCAGGAGAGACGAGTTGGTTCCTCTGTGGTTCTGTTTCATTGTGGTTTCTTTGCACATTACAATGAATTACCAAAATGTCATCAGTCTCACGTTTCAGCACAAGATGCTCTTCATCCTGACTGATGCAAAGTTGCTTCTCTTCATCTTTGAACTGTTGAGGTTCTGGTTCCTCTTGCTCCCATTTTATCTGCAGAGGTTCTGGTTCTTGTTTTATCTGCAGAGGTTCTGGTTCTTGTTTTATCTGCAGAGGTTCTGTTTCCTCTTGCTCCTGTTTCATCTGCAGATCTAGTTGCAAAACTCCAACTTGATCTAAGTTGGAGTTTTTCTCCTGGTTGCTTGGATCATTTTGAACCTCCTCCTCTTTACACACACAGCATTGTGGGAGATCTGGATAAAAAGATAAAACAAAAGTTTTGTGAATCAAACAATTCACTTTAATGTCTTTGTGTATCCAATGTGGATTTTTTTTGTAGTTATTCTAACAAATGTAGTTCTTCTGACCAGAAGGGAGCATGTGAGTCAGAATATTACTGATTTTCAGGTGAGTAAACAACCATACATGTCAAGTTTTAATTTTAAAAATAAGGGAAAACCAAGAGTTGCGACAGACTGGCGACCTGTCCAGGGTGTACCCCGCCTCTCGCCTGAAACATTAGCTGGAGAGGGACCAGCACCCCTCCCAGCCCCACTAGGGACAAGGGTGTTAGAAAATGGAAGGATGGATGGAAAATAAACTACCTGTCAATGACTTATTAGCTACGATCAGGTGCTCAGAATCTGGTAGGTTTATCTTTGTTGACACTGAAATGCTGTGGACATCCGTTAAGCATGACATCCCTATAACAGAGCCGAAATGAAAACACAAAATGGAATCAGAGAACATTTTTAAATTTTGTACATTTATCAACCTTATTTATATGATGCAATTCTGTTGAGTCAAAGTCATTTCAGGCAGAAATTGCATTTCATTGTGCAGTAAATGAGTCTTAATCACTTTTTGGCAGAAAAACAATTTTAGCATTTTCTTGCATTTTTTTGTCATGACAGAATATATTCAAACATAAAGTGCGTGTTCTATGTATAAGACTCCCAAACACGTCCTTTCTGAATTTAGAAAATTCAATAAAATACCTCAGTACAAAATTGGTATTTTACTATGTATTATTATTTTACAGTGATCATGAAGTGGTTCTAAATCTGAGCAGGATTAGTGGAGATAACCCTTTAAGCACATTAGGTATTTAAATGGGCAGATATTGACGACAAGTGACAAAATGCAAATGACTCTCAAAGGGAGAACACCCTAAGTTTTAGGGCGAGACAAAGATAAAGGAGACAAATCTTTGTTGTAATAAAAACTTACAGTTTTATGCCCAAGTTGTAATATTCTCGTTTCTTCTGGAGAATATGCTTCAGTCCTTGGTGCTACTTCTACATAGATTTGCATGATATTCAGACACAGGCCAAGAAGCAGTTAGCCTTAAAACCCCACTCTTACTCCCACACATTCTCCTATTGGCAAAAATATGAATCCTCTGGTAAGAAGGCAATTAGATTTCTGTTTCAGTGGGCAGAATCTGCCTGAGTTTCAACAAAGTGCCAAAGTGAACCCAAATGTATTTTTTATTCATCAATGGTAAATTTCACATACACGAATGTACATTTTTAAAGAGAAAACCATATAAGTCCCTTTTTGTTATTTAGTAGAGTTCAGAACAGCACTGACTAAGTACAAAGGCTCTAATAAACTATTTGCAAGATGTACAGAAAAGCGGTTTGAAATGAAAGATTTATTTTTAAAACTAAAGGTCAAGACAAATGTTAAAAACAATTGTGGTGCAGTTTGAGGGATTCAAATGTGGAGTAATTGTTATGAAGAGTTAAAACTAAATACATAATTTGCTAAACAAATGCAAGGTATTATAGTTTTCTTTTGTGTTTGTCTACTGGTTTTGCTGGATTTGCATTATACATTTTGAAAACATACAGAATAAATCCTGCTGCTTTGCTTTTGTTTTCATGTATAACAAAGTTAAAGTGTAATGAGGTTGTAATTCTACCTACACTTTTTTTATGTCCACACTTTGTGTTCGTGCCATTGATAGGAATTTAATAATTTATCTATTTCTGTACTAGTTTACTCCCAGTTTGAGATTACCCACAATCTATTGAAAATTAGATTTACATGAGGTTTCTTGGAAATTATGTGCCATTGTGTATCAGTTTCGTTTTCTCTCTAAACTATTGTGATTCTGTCATTATTTTATTGTTACTACTTTTATTATTTATTGTCCCCATGGCTAACCTTCTGGTGTTATGTAGCTGTTACAACACTTAAGTGTCCTGTTGCTATTCAATGATACAAAAATATTTTTGAGAGGCGGGGTGGAACTGCCTAGAAATAACATAATTAAATCGAATAATTTTAAACAAACTCTTACCATTACTTTCTTAAACTGGTGGAGTAGAGATTAGGGTGCCACGGACCAGAAACTATAATGTAGATAAGCGATGGAGAGTAGATTGTCCAAATCACAGTTAATCGTTATTGATTATTAAAGACTTATAGTTTCATGTAAAAGCCGTTTAAATAGGTTGACTTCGCACCAAATACTCTCCTTAATTTGTCTCCAACTCCCTTTAACCTGTATCATCAGTAAAACATGAAGGTGTTTCGTACCTATCCGGTGTAAAATTATCTTCGGTATCCG